AAGGTTTAATTCAATCTTCATTTAAAAAATCATGTCAGATTATTATAACGTGTCAATTGTCTATTGCATCACTATTAATGGGCTCTGCATTCAGGACAGCAAGGAGCCTGAATCAAAACGAATAATAACGTTCTGCTTATTATAAGCTTTTGACAATGCGTATACATCCAACGCACATGGCACCCTTTAGCGTCAATATGATATGCAGATGTATATGGGCCAGAAGGCGCCTCCTAGTGGTCTAACCCTAACCCAGACCTACAGTAAACATACCCATAACCGAAGCGTGTTATATTGACGCTAAAGGGTGGCATGTGGGTTGGATGTCAAAAGCGTCACCATATGCCCTGATGAGAATGCGTTGGGATATTCCATGAATTATAAAGATTATTAAAACTTTAAAGTTATTGTAATATAGTAGCCTACTTATTTTCTTTAGTTATAGTTATTGTCTGTGGTGTGAACAGGCCTCAAATGATATTTACATGTGATATTTATTTTGATGACCCCTTTTGAACATTAAGTTAACTAGTAACTTTGCAACTAGTAACTTTAATTAGAGTATTAGTAGACCGTGTAATATCTGCTATATCTTTATGTGATTGTCCTCCAACAGATGTTCTACTGTAATTATATAAGTAACTTTGCATACTATATGTCAACTTATTCTAACCCTATCTACCAGTCTACTAATAAAGTTAGAAGACATTGGTGAAGAAGAAGTTTTATTTATATAACACCTTTCAGTAGCTCAAGGTCGCTTTACATTGTACATTTACAATACATTTACACATCTGCACACACATTACAATCACATAATCACACATAGTCACATTAGCCACAGGTGCAACATTATTTATAGTCAACAGAATGTGTTAAGGGGACCATCAAAAAAAAAAAAGAAACACATTTTTTCCTTGTGGACTGATATGATATACCCCCACACTAAAACAATTATTTTTCTCAGACAGATCGCTGAAGATACAAGCAAGTTCTCCCACATGGAGTGCTTCGGTAAGTATTAACAAAAAGCAGAGAAGCAAAGAATAAACATTTAAGAGCTCATTTCTTTCTGATGGGATTTATCACTACCTGAGGGCTACGCTTCTACACAACCATCTGGAGGAGAGGCACACGCTGAAAATGGACTGCACATCCTCCCGTGAATACACACTTTATTTGAAGAAACATTCTTTATTATTATATTTATTATTATTTTAGATTTTACCACAGGAGTTTCATGGAGCACTGATTTCTAAAAATGACTTTGAACAGGACGTCTTACAAATTCTGAATTTTGCATGAAGGTATTGAAGGTACTTCTCGATATCCAAATCAATATCGTTATTGCTAAAACTAAAGCTGTATGAAATTAACTATATTATTAATTTAACTATGAATGAAATGATCTGCTGCTGTGCCAAACTAAATTGGTAATGAGTGTTGAAAAAGTAACATATATTGAGAAATGTGTCCTATAGCAATTGTGAAAAACTGTAATTGAGAATTGGACAAGCACACCCCGCATCAGTCTCATCCATGTTTCCTCAATTCTTGTTGTGTCAGGAAATCGTGAAAACTGAGTGTGTCGTTGTTTAGATTTGCAGCTGGATATGCTAACAACGGCAAGAGGATTCAGCTATTCGTTTTTGATCGCATTGCAAAGTATAAACTCACTTAGCCTACTCTATAGGCGCTTTTCCACTGCATAGTACGGTACGGTTCGGTTCGGTACGGCTCACTTGTGGTGCTTTTCCACTGCATGGTACGGTACAGTACGGTTCGCTTCAGGTCGCTTTAAATGGTACCTGGTCTGTTGAGGTTCCAAGCGTACCGTACCGGTACTAAAATGTGTCGTGAAACACTGCAGATCACTGATTGGTCAGACAGAATCGTCACTACCAGCGTCACTACTAGCGTCATTGGATCTGCGACACGAGACACGAGACACTTTTTAGCAGTATTTTTGTTTTGCTGCCATCAGCCTCATTTTAAACACATTTTTCCGTCAAGCAGTTAAAAACAACCACATACCGAGAATCAGGAACACCATCCCCTCGATAGTCTCCATTGTTCCTGTGTTGTGGGTTTGAAAATGTGGCGCTTTTAAGATGATGTCATGGCAGTAGAGGCGCGCGCAAATAACGATCAGTCCCACACACTTTGAAGGGGTACTACTGCAGTGGAAATGCAAAGCGAACCGAACTGTTCCGCGCCGAGTCGAAGCGTACTGAGCCGAACCGTACCGTACTATGCAGTGGAAAAGCGCCATATGTGTGATAAAGGTCACAGGGAGATAAATGATTCACAGGTGAATGTAATCAGTAACCAAGGGAACACACTAGGACTGTCAGGACTAAACTGAAGCACCAGGAAAAAAAACACAACTAAACATTATCCTGACAGTTATATCAGTGGTGAACATTTTGCTGAAGCAAGTTTCAATGCAGACAAACATGTGCTCCATTTGTTGGGTAAAGCCTGATGGCACTTACTTTAGAATCAAGACAGTAGATGATGGTATGAAACATAATGCTCTTGTTAAAACATTCATATTAAACCTTTATGACCTTCTGAATGATATAGCCTATATTGTATATAATAATAATATGTTTTTTACATTGTTGTAGGCCTACCTAACAAATGGTTTTCAGTTGTAAGAGTTGTTGCTTTTTTGGGTTACACTTTATTTCTACGGTTCACTTTAGACATAACTAAAAGCAACATGGCGACTGTCAACTAACTTTAATTTGAGTATTAGTAGACTTTTGGTAGCACTTTATTTTACAGTCCTGTTCCACATATGCATACTATATAGCAATTACAATAACTAGGTTATAACCCTGAACCAACCCCTAAACCTAACCTTAACCCATGTAGCCTACCAGTACTTTCTACAGTGTAAAATCTGTAAAATCTTGTTATTTGTCAACAAAATGACCTGGCACCTCAAGATTAAACTGATCTATTGCTTCCGTGTAACCCTTCTAGGAACTTGAGATCTTGCGACTTAGAGTTAAACTTAAAAAACTTCCTTTCTTTAGAAGAAACTAAATTGGTCCAAACTAAATTAGAACCCGTCTATTTCATTATATGGACACTGTGACTGTGTTTGTTACCTGCCATTACATTACATTATAACAAATGTCTAGACAAGCAGAGTGTGATTGTCAGATGGATATCAGAGCTCTATCTTCAGTGTCTAACAGGTTTTGATAATGTCATGTAATCCCACCATCAATTGTCAGCACACTAACAAAGTTGCTGTGTTACTCTAATTTGCATTTAATTGAGGGTTAATGCGGCTGTTCCTCTGAACAGAAGTCTTGTCTGCAGGCAAATTCTCAAATGCAAAGGTCTTTGCTGGAGTGATTGCATTTAGATTGCACAATACATCAACCTGTATGCCTTCTGTGCCACACCTGTGACAGTTTTCACCAGAGTGGATTTGTAAAGTCTTCTTGGCATCATGGCAGTGAGGAGACGATTAATAGCAGAATTCTCAATTCAACTGAACTATTTGTTTAATATATTATATAATATAACAATATATATTCACCAGTCTTTCTGTTATTTATGTAGGTCACTGGTTTTTTTTTCTGAAAGTAAATTTATATGATGAAGTGGGCAAAACAAATTGCCCCTTTATAGCTGGCACTGGCATTCGCTATCTACACCCATCTACACCCTTCTACACCCTTAAAAGTTCTTTAGTAGCATCTTGTAACATGGATGCTCTGTTTTTGTTTAGTTTTCCCGGTTCCTGTTTGCCCCTGTAATTTGACCATAGCAATCACCCCCTATGATCACAAGAGTAGCCTATAGAATTAACATAAACTTAGACCGCATGCTTGGAACTTGATGCCCTTCACAGTCAAAGATATGAAAGCAACTGAACTGTATTGCTCAATGCCTTGGTAAGGAGAAAAAAAAAATCTAATTATCAGACTTTTTATTGTAGTTTAATTTTCCTTTGTTCTCGAGAAAAATGGCTCCACTGCATGGGGGATTTGATCAAATGTGTGCCAGTGGAATAATACAACATAGCAGTGTCTTATGAAGTACCGTCCCACACAGGGTTAGACTTTGAAGCATTTTTTGTGAGCTGTGAGGCAATAGAGAGAGAGAACTAATTTACTATGTGTTTCCTGCTTAAACGCTTATTAAAAAATGATGATAAACATGATATCAATTATCATAGAGTTAAACTAGAATAAAGTTGAATGCAGGGAGATGAAATCACTGTGGTGAGATTCAGTTAGGCCTGTATGGATTACTTTGGATCGACAAGAGAAGACTTGCACTGTGTGTGTGTGTGTGTGTGTCCTGTTATGGCTGTAAGTCTCTTCTCAGTGACTGTGCCCTGGCCTAGATAAACCATATCACAACACCACTGAAATATTCACATCTCCATCTGCATTGTGTCTAAACATCAAAGTGAACAAACCATTTGCAATGACAAGTTCAGCCATGACAACTGCATGGGAACAGGGCTGTGTAGAGCAAATTAATAATAGTGAACTTGTGTTTTATAAACTCTTCATTGGGTTGGCTTTGTTGCAACTGATAAATACCCTGACACTGCTCTCCTGTTCTGAAGCTGGAATAACCTTTCATTGCCGTTTGTGAATGGAAATTGGGTCATATGCCTTATTTATTATGCCATATGCCATAATTATTATTATTTTAATAATATAACCTCATTCTTCTCAGGTCATTGGCCTGTTTCCTTAGTTTCCAACTTATCTTCGCTGTATTAGGAAATATGCAACTTTTGATTAAAATTGTAAATAAAAGCCAGCATTTTGTATTTATTCTGTTGATTTAAAAAGACTTGAATGGTGTCCACATTACATTACATCATACCAACTCATCACATTCCCTTTACCTTTAAAGAAATAAACTCTGTCATAGAAACCTCACTAGTGTCCTCTCTTTTTTTATCTCTTTATTTGTTTAGTCAACCCTGTTACCATGATTGTGTATTATAAATGATTATTTAAAAGTGTATACTTATATAAACTTTAGCATTCTTTCTCAACATTCTTTCTAACAAACACATAGTGTCATGACCCTCAGCACAAGGCTGGCTAAATTAATACCAAAACTTTTTTCAACACATTTTGTTACTATTATTATTAATTTTAGCTGATAATGACACAATAATTTACAAAAACAAACACGCCATTAAAGCTAAAAGACACATTCTTTGTCTGATAGAATTTTTAAACGGTTGAATGTAAAATCACTTATCACTCAACCTCAGGCAGTGAATTCTGTTTAGTTGATCTACAGCAGGTGGCAGCACATGCCTAATGCAAACCTGCCTTGAAAACTGCTAATTAAGATGACAGGACAGTTTTTTTTTTTTTAAATCTCGGTTATTAAAATTTCCCCTTTAGCGTATAACAGAGTAAAAATGAATACCTTACACCACTGAAACATTAAATTCGGCCTAATGCAATTCAAGAATGCAATATAACCTAAAGCATTTTTTTTTACAACTTCAGCTAACCAGGCGTTTTTCTTAAAAAGTTAGTTTTGAGCTTGTCAAAACAGTTCGGCAGTTTGTCTATCGTTTACTAGCGGGTAACTGGTTAGTGCGTTATGAATATTTGTTTCGGTTTATTCAGCGGAGTCCTGATTCCACCAATCAGATCGTAGCCCTCCAAACTTCCCACCAATCAGGGCAGCTCCTGTAACTTTCACGCGCAGCTCGCGTCTGTCGCTCTGTTTTGATCCGCGGTCTGTCTGTAGGTGGTGAAGCCTCTATGGGGACACTTTTGTTTTTATGCAAATATTTTCTTTTACAAACCGCGGCGCTTTTGTCAAAGCTCAGGTTTATATAGGGGGGAATGATGACATCATTTATCTGCGGTTGAGGAAGCTGCCGTGTTTCTGAAGAGCCTCTTGAGACCGTCTAAGCCTCTGCCATGAGTTGTTTGGATGTTATGTATCATCAGAGTTATGGAGCTCATCACTACTTGCCTGCGACATCATCAGCAGCGGCGGCAGCGGCAGCTTACAAAGCGGCTTACTATCATCATCATCAACATCATCATCATCAACAGCAGCAGCAGCAGGTAGGTGCTTTATTCTGACACAGACGACTCAAGAAAAGTTAGGAAAGCAAAGTTCTCCTTCAGACATTTTTGCTGAGATGATTTAAAAAGCATTTACAGCCTTAAGAAAAAAGTTTAAACATGTTGCCTTCTTTTCTTTATATACTAGGCTAACGTTACACTATTTTAATGAACAAGTCGGACGGGACATTAACAATTTTGCATTCGTGGTCATTATATATATATATATTATATATTATATATACATACTTCTTTTTGTAGTTTATTGTTACTTGTGGAAATATGGAAAATAATAATAATGAAATGCAAAGGTGTGTTTTCTCTGAGACTGAGTTTTTCTCTAAATGCTGTTTCATGATATTTCATATAGAATTCTTCAAATTCCAAGCTCTGAATTACAGCTGAATGTGTTTATACAGTCTCTCGTATACGGAAATCTTCAAGGGCGTAAATCAGCGTACTACTAATGTGCCAAGCGTGGGCACTGGGCCACCAGTTCAGAGACAATCCTCAACAATCTATTTTGGTCGAAGACCAGGTGGTGAACGTGCGTGCTGCAGCTTTTAACCCTGCCCTGACCAGTTCAATTCTTCATAATGAACACAAATCTGTGTCTTTCAGCAGAAGAAGTTCGGTGCCTACAGCAGGATGGATTCAGAGGAGTTTCCCTCTCACTGTGGCCAGAATAAGCAGCCTGGAGCGCTGAAGCCCCGTCCCGAGCCTGAGCTTCCTCGAGAGGAGGAGCAGAACGCTGGGGAAGAGGAGCGCTGCAAGGAGGCGCAGCCCGCCGAGGCCGAGTACTTGAGTGCCAGGTGTGTGGTGTTCACCTATTTCCGTGGAGACATCGGGGATGTGGTGGACGAACATTTCTCACGTGCTTTGAGCCAGCCCAGCTCCTTCAGCAATGATGCTAAAACCGGCCGACTTCACTCTGGAGGACCGTGGAAAGGTAGGAGACGGTGTTACCAAAAATCACATCATTAACATTAATAGTTCTCACACATTATAACATAAGATGGTTACACTTTATTTTACGGTGTCCTTGTTACAGTGTAATCATATGTAAGTACTAAGTCTGTGAAATAAAGAGCTACCACTACAAGTATATGTAATATGTAACGAAAAAAAAAAAATGCTGGTTGAATTGAATACATTTGAATCATAATAAAACTGAATAACAGATCAATCACAATAGAAATGTTGAATGCACATTCCACAACACAGAATGTCGAAACTTTGCTTGCTGGTCCATGACTCTATGTGTAAAAAACCCTAAAAAAAAGTCATAGAATAGCCGATATTTATGACTACTTTGTGGGTTAAATTGACCCGCAACATAATATAAACGTGTATTTCTAGTCCTGGCTTCTGATTGGTCAGTACAGCATTGCTGCTAAGCTAAATGCATTCTTTCTTCCTGAACTGTTTTTCCAACATCAATATTGTATGTTAAAATGTATATGAATCTAAGGCAAAGTATGCATTTCTCTTTTAGGTTTTCAATCACGCTTTGCCTTCACGTGTTATTGTTAAGTGGTATGACAGAATACTACAAAACCATTTCAATCAGATATCCAGGTACTGAGGAACTAATTATTTGTTCTGTTTCAGAAGGAAACTCCCACTCCGAGGGTCAGTGTGGCTCCGTATCGTCGTCCCTGTGGGCTAGCGGTTACCCATCTCAAACCAGCCCGTGTGTCTCCTCCTCTCATCCTGACTTCCCCCACAGCGCCGCCTTCCACCCCGCAGACACTGGCATCTGGAGCAGCCACAGCCTGGCCCCTCCTTCTGCTCTTACTGACTCTTGGCACTACGGCCTGGGAGCCCAGAGTGGAGCGGGATACCCCCACGTACACGAGATGTACCCTCACATGCACCCCCGCCACCCACACCCCCACCGCGTGCTCCATCACGCTCACAGCCCCGTGCTGGACCCCCGCTTCAGCCCCCTTCTGCTACCCAGTGTAAGAGCGTCATGCAGTCCGACGTCCTACACAGACGCCATCAAAACAGAGCTGGAACCGAGCAGCATCCCGGCACCTAACTGGCCCGTTTCTTTCCACGGGTCGGTGGACATCTATGATACAGGTGGGACAAGATGAGCGAACAGATTAAATAACCATGATTTAGTGCCTATTTTTGGATAATTCAGTGAAATTGATTCTTTACAGTCAAAAGCTTCATTTAATACACTTCAGTTCAAAGCTTTTGTAAGAAGTCTCTTATTATATTTGAATATATTTTAAAATGTAATCAAAGCTGAATTTTCAGCTTCATTACTCCTGTCTTCAGTGTCACATGATCCTTCAGAAATCATTCTGATATGCTGATTTGATATGCTGCTCAATAAACATTTCTTATTATTATCAATGTTGAAAACGATTGTGCTGCTTAAATTTTTATGGAACCGTTATTTTTATTAGGATTCTTTGATAAAAAAATAAATAAATGAATCGAAAGTTCCAAAAGAACAGCATATGTTTGAATTAGAAATATTTTGTAACATTATAAACGTCTTAACTTTTGTCTCTTTTGGTCAATTTAATGCGTTTGCTGAAAAAAATGATACATTTCTCACTGACCTCAAACTTTTAAACAGTAATAAATAGCAAAAACATCTAATATTCATCTAGATCTAATATTATAATAAGACCCTTTAACTATTTCTTCCTTTACTTGATTAGTTTAAACATTTCCGACTCTTGGTTTTCACATGACCTTTATTTTGTTGTTGCTTTCACATATAAATAATGTAAAGCGGTCCCATTTATATATAGGGATGCATGATATCTGTCAGTTATTGGTCGATATTAGAGATGTTTTATTTATTAGTCATTATTAGATATGTCAGTGGATGCTGCATACTAAATTGTGCATAATTTAGTTTACTTTTACCTATTTTACAGAAAAAGTTAATTTCCTGTATAGACCATATAGTATAAACTGTCATATGTTATGATGCAGGATGAAGCAAACTTGTTTCAACAAGATTTATGTCCTCACCCACAGCACCAGAGCAAGACAAAGCGAAGGCCAGTGCCTGGTTCTGACAGAGAAGATTCACTGGACTACATGCCTTAGACTGGACCACACTCTTCTGCATGTGGAGTCTTTCCTCAGAGGACTGTCTTGGGAACTATTCAGGGGGTAGATCAGTCTCTATCAGTGAGACAAGCACAAAAACAGCTTTGGGGAAGACTAGTGTTTTTGTAAAGCATACCATCCTGTCTGAGATTGTGCGCTCATGGACAGATATCCAATTCAGGACGCTTCTTCTCCCATCTGGGCTTTCCTGTATGGATGCTAAACATCCCAAATGAGGTTTAAGAGGTATATCTTTACACAAAGGAGGTTTTCTCGACATGGTTGATGCTTTAGAACTGCGTTTATGTACTTGCACAGGTTCTGTTGAAAGAACTGATTGTATTAGTACAGTACAAGGCAGAAATGTGTTGAATGTCTGAGGAAATCTTTATTTACTTTAATATATTTGTCTAAAATAGTCTCGTGACTTTACTGATTGGTGTTTTCTGTTTGTAATATGTGTTAATAGATTATTTTTTTGATGTCAAATCGTCTCGCCTTTGAGGAATTCGTTTTACTGCCTTACATGAACTGCTAAGTTTTATTGGCAAACAACCTTGTTTTTGTTTTGGATGGATTTATTAAATCATTACAGTGGTTACTGTCCCTTTAAATGTTGTCAGTGGTAGTGCTTTCATCTGTTTTACTTTTCCCCGTCAATAGGATGTAAGGCATTTGAGAGGTCAGTGGCACCAAAACACACAGCAGAGTAACTGTTGACCAATTTTGGGAACGAAATATGCAGAGCGCAAAGTCCCAGAAGGGATAGTATCATTCCATTCACATTTAGCTTCATCTCTCGCAAAGCCACAGGATCTGGGACGTGTCATAAATTGCTCTGTTACACTGCAAAAAAGTTTATGTGAATGCTCTTAAATGTCAGAAGTTGGAATGTGCTTACTGTCGGGCTAGGAAGTTCGATCCAAGACCACTTGAACAATTGCAGTGAAAACAGACTCCTCTTATCCACTGCAGAAATGGCCTAATGGAGAATGGCGATCGGCCTCCGTGTAACGTCAACCAAAATCCACTCAAAGAATGCTGAGAGTGTAGAATATGCACTTCCGTGTGAAATCGAGCATTATTTTGGAGAGATGCAGCTTGAAATATTTTTATACAAGCACCAGTGCCAGATATTGCATTATATTTGTCGTAAAAGACAGCTGTTGGGCTGGTTGTCCTGTGAGTTAGTGTGAATGTGGGGTTGGGAGTGAGATCTCTGACCAGGTGGCGGCACTGACCCTCTCACTTTCCCTCTGCAGCTCTCAGAACATCACCAGCTGCTTCATACTGGGGCAGAATCACAAACTACCATGTTATATTTCTCAAACTCTAGACCAGAAAGACTATTTTAAGTAAGCTTGTGTAAAAGAAGTGCGCTCAATTGTAGAGTACTTTAAATCCTAAAAAAAAATTGTTGTTACAAATGATAAATAATATTAATAAAAGGCCACTTAAAGGGCTAATTCACCCAAAAAGGAAAATTCTGTCAGTTACTCACCCTCATGTTGTTCCAACCCCATAAGACCTTCGTTCATCTTCCGAACACGAATTAATGTTTTTGATGAAATCTGAGAGCTGGATCACTCCTGCATACTAGTCTAGACTTCTTGACGAATTGAAACTTGCCGGGCTCAAAAAGTTATTAAAGACATCGTTAAAATAGTCCAAGTGACTACATTAGCTCAATCTTAACTTTATCAAGCAACGAGAATACTTTTTTGTGCGCAAAAACAAACTTTTCGAGGCCAGCAAGTTTCAATTCCTCAAGAAGGAATTGAAACTAAACTGTTCAATTCATAAGCATTATTTTTATGATCTCTTTTGGGAACTTTTTGAAGGGTGAAAGTTGCATAGATGTCAATGAAGAGTCAAAAAGATCTTCATTTGTGTTTTGTAAGATTAACGAAAGCCTTAGCTTTTTTGAATAACATAAGATAAGGGTGAGTAATTGATGACAAGTGTTTCATTTTTGGGTGTACATATATATTACAGTTAATATATATTAAATGTACTAAACTGCAACTTCATCCATAACACATGTAAATATATTTCAATACAAGAATACAAGTTTAAAAAAATGTTTTTGTTTTCTATAAATGCTTGTCAGAACATTCAGCAGTACAATGTAACAATATATTTAAAAAAATAATAATTATAAAATCATATATTACGATGTATACAAGTATCTCAAAAAACACTCATAAGTTCAACTAATTACATTTAAAATAAATTAAAACTATAAATTAAAAATAAAACATTTTAATTTAATTGCAGTTAAAGTGTCCGAAAACATTACTATTAATATTTCTTATTTCAGTAATCATTTTTTTTAAAAGTATGCTTAAAAGTGTTCTTTTTCACAAGGGCATAGGAATTAGAGTTTTGTAATGCCAACATTTTTTTAAATTAAAATCATGAATGATGGCCCACAACAAGGATTTTATCCTTCACAGCAAGAGCCTACTTTTGCAGGTCTGAATCTAACAGCCATTGTGCTGTACCTTGTTTCATCCATGTCCCTCAATGTTTTTGTCCATATTGACCATTAAAACAAAATTATGGGACTTGAATAATTGCTGTTTTCTTGCTCTAGTGGATGAATAAGCCTGTCCATATCAGACGGGTACACCATCCTTCTGCTTTGCTAATTGCTCTACTTGATTATATAAGTTTTGAGATGGCCCTGTGATCACAAGCAGTAGGAGAGCTCCTCAAGTGGTCATAACAGACCCAAAAGCAGCAGATAAATGAGGGGTAAAGAGACCTGCCAGCTGCATTCAGCCGCTCTCCGCAAGAGTGACATAAACAGCAGAAAACACATGGCCGCTCGCTCGCTCTTATGAACCTTTGGGACTGCACAATATATGGGAGTGTTTACTGCATGACAAATACAGAAAGATCATTCATGTGATTGATGAACACAATATGGAAAGACAACAGGGCGACACTAAGTGACCATGGTGTTTATGATGTATTATATTTACAATTTTTTCAAGACCCAGGAATCATTTAAAGGGATAGTCCAACCAAAAATGTAAATTAGCCCATCAATTACTCACCTTGAAGACATCCTATGATATTCTTCTTTCAGACGAATACAATCAGAGTTATATAAGCTACAAAGTCGACATGCGTGCGGCCGATAAAGGTTTAAAGATGGATATTTTTCTTATACGAACGCATCGCTTCACTTTACTAAGTGAAGTCCTTCACTAACCCACACAGAGCTGTGTCGGGCACTCTAATCCCACTCAAAAATATACCCATTGACTTTCACTATAAAGCTTAGAAGAGACTTTTAACATAACTCTGATTGTATTCATCTGAAAGAAGAACACCTATAGGCTGACTTTAAGGTGAGTAAATCATGAGATTCATTTTGGGCTGAACTATCCCTTTAAATGATTCCTGGATTAATAAACTCAATATTCTGTGTCAAATTATTGATTTATTTGGTAGGTAACAATGTTATAAGTGGGAAAATGTATAGCGAGGCCGTTGTTACAGAATTCAACCCCTTCAGGCTGAGTCAAGACCCCTCCTTCGCGTTAGAGTTTGCGGGGTTGTATTCGCTATAACAACCACCTTGCTATTATCCCCTACTTTATTTATCTATTTCTATGAGGGCTGACGAGACAAAATTACTGTCAAGTGTGTTTAAAAAGTGCGGTACAGCAAACAAACCAGCACTATCATTTTTCAAGTGCCAAATTGGACCTTTCACTGATGTAATGCCGCAATGACGTGCACTTGCTAGCCTGTTCCAATTACGTGTTCTCCGAATGCTAAAGAGGACCCTCGCCTAGCCTCTGAAGGAAATGACTTGGAAGGACCCGTCCTGCCAAGGAAGAATCCATGACATTGAGAAACACTTTATGAAGACATAAAGGAAACACGGGGGGGAAAAAAGAGTTACAAACTAAGAGTCAAGGAAAACAACGCATTCTCACCCCAAGGCGTCACCTTTGACCATGCTTCAATATTTGACGTTTTAGGCGCCCTTTAGCGTCACTTACATGACGCGATCCTACGGCGTCATCTAACTGACGCTAAAGGAAAGCGTCAGTTAGAGGACGCGGTTAGGTTTAGGTCTGGGGTAGGGGTAGGGTACACGCGATCCTAGGGCGTCATCTAACTGACGCTAAAGGGCGCCTAAAGCGTCAGATATTGAAGCATGTCCAAATGCTTTCCAAGGCGTCAGTCAGGTGACAACACAGCAATGTCACAGTTCTCTCAATTTATCTCCTCATTAATTCTTATTAAGCCATTTTGACATATTTTGAGCTCTCTGTTCAGTTGGTCACTGTCTACTTTTCAAATAGGCTACTAAGAATGTGTTTATAATAAAGTCACATTTTTGAAATAAGTTATTCATTCATTCATTCATATTTGTTTGATTGTTTATTCCTTTATAAATATTATTATTTTAAATCTGTGTTTCATAATCTATAAAAACAGGAAAGTCATCAGCACTTTCTCAGAAGCGGTTCTACGCTCAGTGCAAGAGGTGAAGATGACTCTCAGCGGTGTACAAGGAAGCTGAGTCTCTTCATGGGCTGCTCCACAGGCTCTGCCCCTCCTTCAGGAAACCGGCCATTGGAGACACGGAGCCCCTGCCAACCCAAGACTGAGACCGCAGCCTTCACATTAGCATGGGATGCACTTCTATGCTAATTCCTGTCAGCTCTCCATGGCACCCCTTGGAGATCACAGGCTCTTCCAAACCAGGACAGGGCCTATTCTAACGTTTAGAAAGTCTCCTAATCAAAACAAACACAAAAATGCATATACTTTTCACAAAAGTGTGGTACAGTACGAATAGTATTGTAACAATGTGTGTTTGTCAAATGGATGAACTTCAAGGACACCTGAACTTGAGGAGAACTGACTTCACACATCCAATAAAAATCATCAAAACATCAGAAGATTAAAATGAATGAGTTTATCTCTCAGGAAAAGCCATTTGTTTACAGGTGACGTATTTTTGGGGTCACTTTATGTAATTGACATCCATAACATTTGTAGCAGTTAAACAGTCAAATTTTCAGACTATTTTTCTTTCATATTTGTAAGTTCTGCATAAGTGCCTTGGAAAGTCTATGAATACGTTCTTTTCTTTACAGTTCACAATCTGCCAATCAGAAATAGTTCCTCTAAATTGAGTGAAATCAAATGAATGGCCCGACTGTGAGTCAAACAAAAGCCCTGTGCATGAAAGCTGGATGTCCACGCCAATTCACACCAGGAGTCAGAAAAAGGCCAGATAAAGCTCTTGAGTCATATCATGGTTCTTTTAGAGCGTTAATTGGTCAAACTGTCAGACAGTCTGTATTTTCCTAAAGCTACATTTCTAGTTAATTATCAATTTACTCATTTATAAACAAAAAGCGAGTTCATTGAAAGGCTCGATTAAACTTTAAAGATTTTTTTCTCCATATGATAAAACTAGATGCAAAATTAACATGTTCAGGTATTCACCAATGTTACATTTAGATATTTATATCATCAACTTCTATTTCTGCTTGTGACTTATCATAGTTGTGACAGAAAATATTTACAATAAAAACTGTAATAAATCTACATTTTTATTTTAATAATACAATTATTTAAT